CACCAAGTCGTGAACGTTGAAGATTCGACATTCGTAGGCACACATCAATTGCCGTTCTGCTCACGACAACCCAATTGTCCACGCAAGACAGCGCCATGGATCGGGGTACGCACCTGAAGGAGCTTGGCTTGCCCTCGACTGCGTCCTATGAGGAGATCCGAAGAGCCTATTATGGTTTGGCCCTATGCTATCACCCGGACAAAGTGGTCGACGTGAGCAAAAAGGCAGAAGCTCAAGTCAAGCTCAACGCAATTCAGGCAGCGTACGATGCTTTGAGAGGAAAGCCTACCAAGAGTGGGCCGGTACCACAACATCCAACGGTACCGAAACCGCGACCCACCAGACCTTCGCCGCAGCGAAGTAGTGACTGGCACGTAGGACCAAGCGAAGACGCAAATGCCGCCAGTCTTGACGATATGTCTCCAATGCCTAAGGAAACTTCCAACCTAGACGCCGCTGCTTTTGTTAGTATGCCGCCATTACCTGAAGAGATCTTCAGTCCTGAGGAAGGCTACAGTGCCAATGCCGACTACGAACCGGAGGACGATTCAAATCAGCCTGCCCAGCATTCGGTGCTCGAGAAACCAGCAGTCACCTTCGAACCACGGTGATTTTCGAGCTGATGCTGATGGATCGGGGAGATCCCAGAAATCTACCTCGGACCAGATTACATCAACCAAGCGAAAAGCAGACGCCGCAAGTTCAGGCCTATATTACAAGTCTCCGAAGAAAGTTTGTAATGGTCTTGGACTTGGTTCAGCTGAGCAGCATGGAGGCTATGAGCTTTTCAGCCCGCAAGTGAACTCGAAGGCCCAAGCTGAACCGGAGGTCATTTACAAGACCGAGATAGAGACGGATAAGGAGAAGATGCTCGCCCTCTATGAGAAAGACCCTGAAACAAAGGCAGCAGCTAGGGGCGGCCAAACAGCTTCTGAGAGGAATGCGGTCGAAACACTAGATGACTTTGCGGAGAACGACGAGCCGCTTGACATTGATAGTGAAGAGGAAGGTGACGAAAACCGGGGATAGACAAAAAGTTAGAAGTTGAGGAATAACCAAAGAAGAAGCGAACGATATGAAGGAAAGATGATATATACGCAGGAACATCGATGGGGTTGTTGTGAGCGTGTCGGGCAGGAAGGTATATTTCAATGGGTTTTCACAGAGTATTTGGGTTGCGAGCTGAGTGGTAAGAGCGAAAAAAAGGTATATTGGAATCAGATGGCTGAAGTTGCCCTGTATGCACTATTCAAAGTCCCTAAAAATTGCTGCTAGTAGGACAATGATTATGGAAAACATCACTGTTCTGTTGGAACCACAAATTCTACGTAATGTCTATCATACTGAAGTGGAAGTCGATCTGAAGTATTCAACTAGTGTGTTTCAGTGTAATGGATATGCTGCTTTTGGTTAGCGCCAAACTTGCCCCTTTCCCTTTCAATAATCTCCAGACGACATCTCATCTGCAAGCGACCCAACACCTCACGTTCCACGTCCATGGGCTGTACTTACAAAGATGGCCACCCCGCCCCAACCTCATAAGCTCCCTCAAACCACACCAGCGGCTCGGATGGTATATGAGCATTGTTTTCTAGCAGAGGTGCATGTTGCGGAAATGCAAAACAGGGTCATGATCGTGAAGGTCGACCTGCGTACACTTTACACTCTAAGTATCATCTCTTTATCTAATATTCTTTTCGAAAACAACGATGATAACTGTGATTCTATGATCCATGAATACCCTGCCCGGCTGCAAGGTTCTGGATTTCGTACTTTCGGACGATGATTATCTTTGGTTACGCTTGGAGGCGGTAGCATTGCTTGAGTGAGTTAGCTGACCTGTTAACCAAGAGTTATCCGCTCGTTGTACTGCTCTATACTTCACGATCAGGTATTTTTCACCCCAGCCAAACTCATGCTTTTTCGCCATGCGCCACAATTCCCTCGAAATTATTCGTGTGGCTCCCTCCACGTGCTACTAGTCACGACCGTGTGGTTTTGGAAAAGGTACAAAAGCGCTTGCGGCGTTTCTTCCACCACTTCGCTTCGACAAAATATCATTGTCAGAAACTGATTACTCGACAAATTTTGTCAGAACTACAATCTATACACTGCATTTGACAAACCATTGCGCCAACACCTACCACCTCGAAGTGCCGCAAAATCTTCTCCCGCAAGCACAATAATGCGGGGGCAAGAAACGCTCAAGCATTCAGCAAGAGCCTCTGGGCCCCAGGAACATCCTCTACCTCGCCAACCTCTACTCGTATCAACACGACAGAGCCCCCGAACAACCCCACTTTCCGCTTCCTTGATTTGCCTGGCGAAATCCGTGATCACGTCTACGATATGTATATTGTAGTCGATAAGCCGTACAGTCACGCAGGTGGCAGTCGGAATGGAATCGGAAACTATGAAGAACATGAGCACCCCGCAAACACCTACCCCAAAGGACTTTTCAAGCCGTTCTCTTACACTCTTCGGTGCGATTACTGCATAAGAGGTGAAGGCCGTACTGCAGTGTGGGAGGATGGCATGGAGCCTTACGCAGTTCCCAAGTTATGGCACATAAATCAGCAAATTAGGCTGGAGTCTAGAACACGCATCGCTCAACTACACCTCTATCTCGATTTGGCGGCCGATATTTACATGAATCACAAGTACTTCACTAATTGGTTTACCCACGCAATTCCGGACCTCCAATCTTTCGTTACTAGGCTACATGTTGGAGTGTCTGGCGCTATCTATGAGAAAAATGTCTTACCGGAAGACTGGGTCGGGGGACGAACCAAGAAAAACAGGCATAACGGCATTCGCGCACTTGCTCACCTTGACCATCAAGGTATTGCGACATTCCGCATCGAAATCACTGATTCGGGGAAAGGTTTACTGGTTACCACGCCTCTTGCCTTGGTCTCACAGCAAGTAATCATAATCAAGGATCACGTCGAGACCTTCGTTGGTTCGATCACTCAGACCCTCAACGGTACACACCTTACTGAGATGGCTAAATGGCTGTATTTGCAAGAGCATGAGTACTTCAATTGCACCGATGACGGATGGGATATTGAACAAGGACTGACATGGGCGCTTGAGGCCGAGAAGAACGCTCTCGTGGCTGATGTGGATGAGAGGGAACCTGGAAGCTTTTACGTGAACTACTACGCGAAAGGTGAATACACGTATAAAGTGGTACATGCGAAAGTCTCCGCCGCACAAGTTCAGAACTAGAGGTTTCTGCAAAGGGCACTTATGGGTTTCCGTATCTGCTGGTTATCAATCACGACGACAGTTATACGAAAATGCTTGGTCTGGCCTATAATGATGATGGTGCCGGGCGAATCAAAATGATGCTCGCGGGGTTAAAAGAAGCATACAGCTGGAATAACGGGATAGCGGTGCACTACCATTTCAATATAGATTTTAATTAAACGACTTCCTCGATGGCTTTCAATGGTGAATTAGTTCTAAAATGAATTATGGAATAATTTTACCAGTAATGAGTTGAGCATGCGTATGGTAATTTTCGGCTTTTGATAAGTGATAGGACTTATGATCGAAATTGAGGCCACTATATGTTCAACTTCAATGTCAACAAATCCTTTGTGAATAACGTAAGGCTGGGAACCAGGCTGTTAGTGCGTTTCAGCAAGAACATTCTGCTTTTAGTTAGCGCGGCATTCCTTTTTCCGGTTTCAACAACCTCCAGACGATACCCCATCTCTGTCATCTGGTCGCAAGTGACTTCATCTTTACAATTCCACAGAGAGATTCGCAGTGACATGATGAATACTTTGCCTGAGTCTTTTGACCTTCCTCAAACCATGCAGGCATGGACATTTCGCACACGCGGGCAGCCAACATCAGTCCTGAAACTATCCGAAGTACCCATTCCAAGAATAACATCGCCAAATGAAGTTCTTGTGCGCGTTTTTCATGCATCACTAAATCCAGTCGGTTCCGCAATGATTGCACTCCTTCCAACATTCATTCGCAAACTCCCGGCAATCCCTGAACTTGATTTCTCTGGTACCGTAATACAAGCTGGCAAGTCTGTACCGGCTGAGCTCGGACCTGGAAAAGCCGTCTTTAGGTCGCTACCTCCTGGATCCTGTTTGCGAAAAGGGATGGGTGCGCTTGCAGAATACGTAGTTGTGCCCACAAGTAATATCGCACTCAAGCCTGAGAGACTCAGCTTTGAGGATGCCTCCGGCCTCGGAATCACAGGAGTCACAGCATTGGAGCTCGTGAAGGACTCAAAGCTGAAGCAGGGAGATAGCGTATTGATCAATGGTGCAAGTGGTGGGGTAGGCACCATGACCGTCCAAGTCGCTCGAAACGTGGTTGGCCCGAGTGGAAAAGTTGTTGCGATTTGTTCTGCTGAAAATGCAGCACTGGCGAAAAGATTAGGAGCAGATGAGGTGATTTACCGAACACAACATGATCCAGTTCATGAGTATCTGATACGAACCTATTCCGAAACGCCGTTCGATGCAATAATCGATGCTGTGGGCGTGCAGTCAGTCTATGAGCATTCCCCGCAATACCTTTGCAAAAAGGGTCTCTTCGTCAGTGTCGGCGTACTTTCTGAAGATCTGAGCTATGCAAGTGTAATCCGTGCTGTTCTGAAGATTGCATCCAACCTTTACTGGCCCCGCTTCCTCGGCGGGGTGGCAAGGCCGTATTTGCAGAAAACAGTTGTTGTAGAATCTCATTCGTTGGAAGGATTGTCTGTCCTGGTACAAGAAGGCAAGCTGAGAGTAATAATTGATTTTTCGTTCTCCATGAATGATGCCCTGCACGTAAGTTCTGAGGGTTGGCTCTCTGTTGCCGAGCTTGTGCTTACAATATTAGGCATATGACAGAATGCGGTTACATCTTGCCCGAGGCAAGATCGTTATCAAGATATCGGAGTGATCGGGTGGAGAATAGGAGCAGTACGATGATTCATATGGCATTTATTCCGTGCGCCGAGCAATGGCAAACAAGCAAAAATATATTGGCGGAACTGAGAATCGAACCCAGGCCTCCAGATCTCAGGCCTTTGTGGATTGGGTTGCTCACTCCTGATGCTCACTCACTCGCTTGCTCACTCGCTCTCACTCGACTCGTTGAAGTCTGGCGTGCTAACCACTGCACCATTCCGCCTTGTTATTGACACTTAGCCTCCTGACCAGGCTTAAGTAATGGAGATCCGCCCCGGTCTCCTAGTATCCACGGCAACAAGAAGTGAAGATCCTTGGGAAGCCTTCCTGAGAGTGATCTTCTGCCAAAAAGCCACGCTCGTCCTCATACAAAGCAAGCGCCATTCCTCTTCATCGACCCTTCAAAACTTCACTGACCGGTGCTGAATGCCGAATCACTTCACATATTTTGTGGCTTGCGCTGGACAGACCAATGGATCAAGAGTAAGGTGATACACCTCATCTGCACATGCTTTCTTGTGTCTCAAGACTAATTCTGTGCTTTCTTAGTGGATAACTCCCTCGCCGGTGCGTGTCGAATAGGTCAATCTCCGTAGCGCGACGCATCGAGTCAACAATAGTGACTGATAGGATTTACTATGGCACATCATCTGAGCACACTTCATAGCACCGCCTCTCATACTTTCTGAGCTTCATTCGGATTGGGATAAACACTGGAAAATTCATTATAGAGGTAACGTAGAAAACGTAAGTGATTCAATTTACTCCACAGCGATCGCGGATATAAGATTTGAAAGATGGCTATTATATTCATGTCTCATTGCCTACAACCCGGTGCACACGTCTGCTCTTTATTTCCATTACAGCCCATCGTCTCTAACCCATGATCCTTACAACAGCCAGGCAAAACAGTACACTTACAATCAACTTTATACTTCTCCCCCCCACCGGGATACTTCTCCACAGCCCACTCATACCACGGCGCTAGTTCAATGCAATGCGGATGCTCGCTTCCTGCACATAGCGACTCCATATCCTTCTTCAAATTCTCATCAGCCTCTTTCTTCATAGTTGCCGTGAAATTTCCGAAGAGTTTGAGGTTGCGATATGCGAAATCGTGACGGGCACATGCGAGTCCGATGTGTACGTCTCCTGGTTTTGGTCCTGATGGTCCAATTTCGGGCCACCAGTCAGGGGAGCCGGCGCTGCAGCCATCGGAGCACCAGTCGAAGCAGTCGGGTCTTTTGGCTGACTTGCGCTCGTTGATGAAAGTGGTAAGTGGTTCCCTCATACGGGATAGGACTGTATCGAGCGAGCATGATTCGGCTGCGTTGTGCGAGTCCATCATCGATTTCAGGTAGACTGGTTCTGGGTAGGCGACCACTACGCCAGCGAATGTAGAGTAGAAGAGTATAGCCTTCATCGTTGACATGCATGCTATTTCTCTCTAACATCGAATGGCCTTCTCCTCCGCCCTCAGAGACTTGTTTGTATTGTTTAGATGCAAAGGATATACTCAATAAATATTGAATCCGGAGGCTGAGAGAAACCTGCGAGAACCGAAAGAGAGAATACCGAGTTCCGGAAAGATCTCTAACAATATGTAGAATGGGCGGAAGTCACACGAGAATCTCTCCAAAAACAGAGTCAGATCTCGGGCGTACAGGCTTTTCACACATGAGACCGACCAGAAAGGAAAACTACGCCATCTATCTAGCGAATCAAAAACTTTGGAAACGCACCTAATTTCTGTAATTGGCCGTATTTTGATGGCGTAAGTAGCGCCGGTCGGTCTCATGTGTAGAGAGCCTGTAAATCGTTCAATCAATCTGGTTGATCTCCACGATGCAATATCCAAACTCCTGGTAGATCTAGATAGTGGGTACAGGAATATCCATGCCATTTACATGGTCAGGTAAAGTCACTTCACATGAAACACGTGCTGTCAACCTCAGTAAGTCATTTCCTATCCAGCTTACAATGAATGTTTTGCCCAATGCTATTCTCTGGTGTTTTCTCGCGATAGGAGCGTGTTAAAAATATCTCGAAGGACGAAGTCTCAATACGGAATGGTCAAGACTCTCAACCCAGGTCAAATTTAAAGGCTTGTTTTACGCCCTACCTGAAACCCAGCTAAACTTGATTCTAGCCATTGTATTGAGGTTTCACAAAGTCGTTGTTGAACCGTAAGTGTGAACTATTGAGCGCAATCATTCTTTCAATAAAAGCCAACCTGGGGCTAGAAGCCATAAGCATGCTCATTCGAGTTTCGTATATCGAACATAATACTTGTACACTAGAATGCCGGGAAGAGCCGGTTTGGTATCTGAAAGACTCGTCAACCTTGACATACTATTTACGGTTAGCATGCAGGATCTGCGCTACTCTAAGTGATGTTCTCCATGGAGAGCACTGATGGTCGCAAGGGTCAGGTATGAATATCTCCTAATTATTCCTCTCCCGACCTTGATTCGTTGCATACATACCTACAATAACAAATACAATTCCTCCAAAAAAAATAAGGAAAGCTACAAAAATCTTCCATTATACCAACCTCAACCCCAATCCAAAAGAATGCGACGCGTTACCATAGATCATTCGCTAAATAAAGAAACATACTGTTAGCTCTTGTAGACAAATGAAATGATATGACCTAGATTCTCGATACGTGGAAAGGATAGTTATTTATTAGTCTTTAAGTCTCCATATCTTTCATGTTCTGTCTGATCTGACCCATACGATTTCTATTCCCCATCCTTTCCGACCGTGAACACCGGCCTTCCCAGGGTATACCGGCCATTTTAACAATGCAAATAATAAAAATGTACACTTGATGTGAAGGAAATGGAAAGGAAATGTGTTTTCAAGCGCACACAGCTTACTTGAAAAGTAGGAACTCTTCACCCCTAGAAATCAAGGTTAGTTCCCACAGCACCAAAAAATAGTTGGAAAAGCCCGGTGGCGAAAAGAACGTACTCTGGAGTGGTTAGCTCGATGACGAGACGCCTGCTATATCATGTTAGAACAAGAACATTACAACCAAGTGAAACACAACAACATACCTAGAGGAGTGGATCTCAACCAGAGCCATAGAGGTATCTCTGCTGAACCTAAAAGAAAAAACCTCCTGTTAACACACGCTCACTTGCGGGCAAGATTTGTATGCAGCACATGCTCTCTCATCCCCAAACTAATAGTAACCCCCACAACACCAATCCCCAACATCGTATACCAAACCCCCTTAAAAGACCACATAAAACTATCGATAGCTCCATCGTAAAGATTTGGCGGCAAGTGCTGGATCTCGCCGATACTGTCACGTAATTTGCCGATGATCTCACGGGCGTTGGGTTGATCACCTAGACGCTTCCACAATTGCGTCTTAAGGATGTTTTGGAAAACTGCTGAGGCGATGGTTATGCCTATTGAGCTTCCTGTTGAGCGGAAGGCGTAGGATGCTGATGTTATTACGGCTTGGTGTTTGTGGTCTACGGCGCTGATGAGGGCGATGAGGGTTATGGTTAGCATGCCGCCGTAGCCTATGCCCGAGAAGGCAAAATATATGAATGGTGGAATTGTCGCGGTGTGTCGATCGAAAGTTCCGGCGATTAACGCAGCGGCTACAACTAGCATTCCCTCAATGAAGATGTTGAGAATGTAATATCTGCCAGTCGCTCGCATGATGTATCCGCTACCGAGAGAGCCAATGGAGGCACCGATGGACATGGGAATAAGTCGGGCACCTGCTTGAGTGGCGCTGTACCCGAGTACTTGGAAGTAGATGGGTGCGTAGTACATCAAAATATATGCGGCCATAGTTGTGAACCAATTTGTGAGACATGCGCAAGCGACTGTTTGGTGAAGTAGTATGCGGACTGGTATGATAGGCTCGCTAGCCACCTTATCTTCGATGAAGATGAATAGGAGAAGGCATACCCCAGAGAGGGGGAGCGTGATGAGGACGAGCGGATGAGTCCAAGGGACAATATTTCCACCGGAGTTGAGGCCGACGAGTAGCAGGACCAACGTAGCAACAAGGGTCAAAGCTCCGAGGAAGTCAACGCGTTTGATACGTGACATAGACTTCTCTTTGACTGGAATCTTGACGGTGAAGCAAATAAGGATGCCAGACACAGCGATGAGAGGGAGTTGAAAAAGGAAGGCCCATCGCCATCCCCAATTATCGTTGACCCAGCCACCGTATACACCGCCCAGTCCGCCACCAAGACCGTAGCAGACGTTTCCGAGCCCTTGAATAAGTCCTCGCTTCCTCAGTGGTACGAGGTCAGAGCCGATGAAGGTGGATATAGCCATGAGGCCGCCACCACCCATTCCAGCAACGACGCGTCCGAGAATCATGACCCATTCTGTCTTGGCAAGGCCACAGATCAGATTTCCGGCAAAGAAGAAGATATTAGAGAAGATGAGACCTGCACGGCGTCCGAAGATGTCAGTGAGGCGGCCAGATAGAGGTTGGAGCGCAGCATTTGCGATGAGGTAAGCAGATGCGAGCCACGAGATAAGCGTAAAGCTGTTGAAGGAATCAGAGATTGGAGAGGCGAGTGTAGCCACAATAGTAGAGTCTATACAACTGTTAGTGTTCTCCCAGCAAGCTTGAAAGCAGCGGGGAAAGCCCACCAAGGGCTCCAAGGAATACTCCAACCCAAATTGAGAGCATGATGATAGCTAGTTTGCCATTGCTTGGCTCCTCAGCTAAGGCAGTCTCATTCTCGTCAACCCAGTCACCTTCAATAGCGGCTTGCTGTTGTTCAACAGCTCCGTCGTCAATAGGCTCGGGCTCAACCTCACGGAGGAGGGGTGTAGACTCAGACGCCCTCGACACGCGTCTCGGAGCCATAACGTCAAACAATGAATAAAAAAAGACGATGGCTACAGTAATTGCGTACAAAAGAAGCTAAGAACGAGGAGGAATGAATTGAATTGTGTAGTGTTTGTACAAGTGGGAAAAGAAAAGATTATGAAGAAGTTGGAGCTCCCCCGTCCGATCACTGATCAGAAAAGAATTTAAAGTGGGGAGCTCCACCACACACACTTCATCCAAGCTCCCTCCTTCCCCACAATTCTCCCTTCAATACACCTTCCCATCTCAAAACCCAGCCTGCCGCCTCGCCTAATCCCAGTCTGGAAGCCACGGCCTCGTCTGATGTCAACTAATCATGCCGAAGGCCAAATCCAGTGCTTATGCAGAGGAGGAAGTAAAGG